TGTTGGCTACTTGCTCTGTCCATGGGATTTTCAGTATCCTTTGGTAGAACCACATTTATGCTGCCTCTAGATAACAATAAGTATAAAAAATTTTTTTTTTTTAATTAGAATGTGATTTGTATCTCGATCTTTTAACAAAGCTTAAAAATATAATTTTAAGCAAAATAACGTTTGAAACTATCTTTTTTTATCTTTACAGTTAAGAAGGCTAAAACAGACATTATTCCAAATTTGAGCCCCCCCCCCAATCATACAAATATACACTTTGCAAACTATTCTGAAAATGACATTAACTTAATTCCAGTCAGTTTCTTATAGATTGTTATTTGTAAATGTATGGTTTGGATGTTTACATTCTGTCTGTATTAAAAATTGAAAAAACACTGATAAATAATAAAGAAGTTTTGCCTTGTTTGATGCTTAATTAGTAATGTTCACCCACAAAAATGTTTTGCAGCAATTTTTAACATCAACTTGAGATTTTTCTTGTTGAAAAGGTTGAATGATTTAACACATTCAAGATTCAGGATTAAAATATAGTGAATTTTATGTAGCATTTTTTTTGAGACTTAGCATGAGCAAAACAAATTCAGATTTGGATGGAAAAATCCCCCCCCCCCCACGAAGTTAAAATCCGTGAAAACTTTTCATCCTTTAATAGTTAGTTGTACTTAGTTTAATTTGTTGTAATGTATATAAATGTAGGTAGAAAAAAAATAAATGTTGGTATGATAGTGAGGATTAAAGCATTGACTGGAGGGCCCCAATCAGGTGTGACGATATGCCAGTCAGCACATATTTTTCTCTTCTGTCTTTGTTCTCTTCTATTTCCTTGTAGCTCTTAAAAAGTTTTGTTTTTTGTTATTTCTCCCAAACCCTGGGACCATCCATTTACTCATGCTCATCAAGTATGTTACATACTGCTTCCTCTGTTCTGTGATAGAAAAAACATTTTTATAACAATCACAAGTCAAATTTTATAATGAAAAATTCACATCTAAATTTAATATATATATACATATATATATATATATATATATATATATATATATATATATATAAATTAAACTAGTAATACTTTTTTGGAAAAAACCTTGGATAGCACAACTTGTAAGTCTATCAAAACAAATTGGTTCATGTCATTTCCTCTTTAGCCAGCTTACCCTGAAGGTCCATTTAGGTAAAACCTAGGTTGTTCTTGGCTCTTTAGGATTTATTCCATTTTTATATATATATATATATATATATAACAAAAGGTGGTCCACATGTGTTTTTAATATGTAGATTTAGTACACCAGTTAATCAAATTTGAATAATAAAATGCCTACAAAATGATACCAATATTGTCAATAAAATTGATATTTATTATATATTAACCTTTTGACTAAATTAAAGCACATTAAATTTAATTCTGGCATTAAAATCTTTCTCTTCAGTTCAGTCAAAAGGTTAATATATTATAAATATCAATTTTATTGATATCATTTTGTTGGCTTTTTATTCTTCAAACACAGAAGAATAAAGAAAGTTGGTAATAATTACAAGAATTCACAATGAGAAAATCAGAGGCTAGAATTAACCAATATATAACACAGAAATGAAGGACTAAATGATATGTCTATAACATTTTACTCTATGGTACTAATACTTTGATGCACCACAATAATAAGGGTTAAAATTAATCTTCTATATAAGTTAATGAGCTTTTTGCACCTGCATACTCCAATTGCAATTAACTATTCAACATTTATATTAATCAATCATACTTTTAATGTATATTGTCTAAATAAATTTCACCTCTAATGAAAAATCACTAGAAAATATACTTGACAGTAATGTTATGAATTTAACAAAAGATAAGTGTCCAAATGAACCATTTAATAATTGACATGTTGTGTTACACCTGGCAGACAGGCCAACCAGCATTCTGCTAAATGCTACAGAGCCAATTATCCAACAATGTGTTTTCAAGTGCACTTTCGATAGATTTGTACTTGTCCTTGGCTTAGGTTAGCCTTCCAAAAAACCACAAAGTTTGGGATAGAACCTTATTGCTCAAGCTGTGCATTAATTGACTAGTGATAGTTAATTTGAAGCCGTGGGACCCAATTGGAAAACTTTTCTTTCTTTCTTTCTTTATTTTATTTTTTTTTTTATTTATTTATTTTTTAGGCCCAGTGTTCACAGCCAAGGTTCTAGGAGAAACCATTACAACTATATTTCTTTCTTTCTTTTTTTTTAAAAACTTTTTCAGCTAAGCCAGTTTTTACATTGTTCAATAATGAATTAAAACATTAAATTCAAGTAGTGTATACAATATAGGAGAAACAAGTAATTTATTAAATGTGACTGTAATTTTTTTAATTGCAATCTCAGTATAATCTGTAAAAAAAAAAAAAAAAAAAAAAAAAAAAAAAAATCACTGCTTGGACATCTTGTTCTATTCCTCCTTGATGTTGAAGTGAGGGGTTTTTGTTGGTGACCTGATCCAAAACACTCCATTGTTTAGTGGGTTCACCAGACCATCCATAAACATGTTAAATTTATTTTAAAAGCAGTTCATGATACAAAATGATGAGGTAACAATATTAGCAATTTTATTATTAATTACACACCTTAATTTGCATTTAAATATGGTAAAAAAAAGTTTTATTGTTCCACTTGGTTTCATAGCTAACACATTGTATTGAAATTTGGAGTAATAGCTTAAAACAGATGTCTTTTTCAAATTAAAAGTATTAATAAATAAAAATATTTTTTAGTTCAAAAAACAATGAAAAGCACCAAAAACACCTTAATGTAAATATATCCTGATTTAGTCTGAAAATAAATTATTTTGCGATATTAATAGATGTTTTGCTTTACATTAAGAAAAATTTTTTTCATAAAATGTACTTAGAGTACAAAATTAATAATTAATACTAAAGATAGTAAAAGAAGGTTTATTGTTCCACTGGGCTTTATAGTTAACATATTGCGTGAAATTTTTGAATAATGGCTTAAAACAGCGGTAGTCTCTTTCAAAATAAGTATATTATACATGCATGTTTCTTTTTGCATCTATTTCAAAATATGTAACGGTAGCAAATCAGCATGCGTCTATTTACCATCAAGTCATATGACATATA